AGCACGGCACCAGTAATATATAAGGAGAAATATTAGATGCCCTTGTTAACTTACTCTGAAGACGGACCGAATTTGGTCCGAAACGTCAGATGTCTCTAATTAAAGAACATTTTGTGCGTGGTCTTCCCATTTGTGACTTACCAAAGGATTGTATCATCTCCCGCATAAAGAAATCATGTATGATTTTTAATACTTTATGATATGAAATAAACTAAGTTTTGTATGTTTCATGGTCTTTAATAAATAAATTATCGGTGATCAATTTTAAAATCGGTAAATTTTCCTTTCGACGAATTGCGGGTCGGTGAATTTTCCAGTCGGTTTCCGGTTGGTGAATTGTTGTCAGTGAAGTTTCCTGGATCCGTCCAGACGATCAGCAGACACTTCATTATAGGTGATTGCTTTGAAGTTTCCGGTTATTGTCACTCACTCACTCCCTTCCATCGTATTTGCCGATTCTTCCAATTTTGTTTTATCACTGATTAGTCTGCCCTCTTGCATAAATGCGATAGTACTATGATTCGTAAGTTATCCTGCAGTTCGTTGCATGCTCTAATCCGGGGCCTTTCCCATCCAGAAACTATGGGTCGTAATTGCGTCCTTCACTTGACATAATCTGTTCTACTCCTTTGGTTACGAGTTGAGAAGTTTCGTTTTGTACATACTTATGCTCGTTGCTTGTTCTTATTGTGAATATTTGAATGGCTGCCGTTTCGATGTGGAGTGCATTTCAATATAACCATTTGAATGCCCTGTGCATTTCTATGCTCTCGTAGAGTTGGGAAAATTGCTGTCCACGATGTTCTTCATTCATGCAAGCATCGCATGAGGCGTTCTCTGAATTTTTCTCATGCTGTCTACATCTCAAACTGTTGACTGTTTTTGTGCTATGAGACCACTACACTGTCAGCACCCTTTGATTCACTGCCACAGCCGACTGTTGCATAGGGAATTTTTATAATTGCTCACTATGCATGGTCAACCACGTTCACTTCCTGCTCTTATTTTGAGGGGCATATGATTTGTCCGTGTTTGTTTTAGAAGGTACTATTTCGTTCATGTTGAAAATTCTGCTTGTATTTCAGTCCACCGGTTATTAATTAGCATCAATATCGTATACTGGTCATCGGTCACAAATTTTGTATTCCTGCACAACTTTCTCATCCGGAGTCAATGGATTCTCCTCCATTATGCCCTCTTTATGAAACAACTGATTTTATCATATAATATATACCCATGTCCTAGCACGCCAAGGTATTTACAACGCTGCCCATTTTATCAGCAGTTGATTTTACAAGCCAGTAGCGTTACCACAAAACATTTACTGATGGCAAATCTGCCAAAAGTTAAAACAGTTACAAAAGAAAGTAAGAATGTAGAAGAAACGCCTGTGAAGCCGGACGTCTTGCACAAAGATTTTAACAAATGTTAAGTGTGATGCCTTGTGGTGATATATCAAGAACTCTGGCAGCGTCGTCAATCCATGCAGACTTTCGAGGCAAATCCAGGAATGGCACCTGTTGCATTTCAACTTCCGCTGCTGGTGCTACAAGCATGCCAAATACACGGTTCGGTGTCCCGAGTAACGGAGCGCCGTCTAGTGCCTGAAACGAAAATATTACCGCTGACCGATGGTTTTAAAGTTTGACCATGGGCGACATTGCTTGAGGTAATTGGGGAACTTTAAACTTCATATCAAAAGGTATTCAATTCTTAATGCATTTCAATGGTTGGTTGAGACGTCGCATATAGTCACACCTCGCATTCCGTCAGAAGGTGGGTTGTACGCTCCGCGGTCAAGACTATTCTAGAACCTTCGGGTACCTGTTCAAGCTATGTGGATGCAATGAGTCAGTTTGAAAAGGTTCACAGCCTCAGTGAGTTCAACCTCAGAGACTATTTGAATAGCCCGCCCTCCGGCTGGTATTGTTGAAATGTTTAGAATGGCGCAATGAAGAATGAAAGCTCTACAGTTTGGAATCACCATCGTTACAGTCAGTGTCGTCCTGGATTCTTCGTCTTTTTCCTAAGGCGTTTCCTTACACAGTGTTTCACCAATCAAACCAACCGTTTCCTTTTTTTTCTGTCTTTGCTTAAATAATCTTCGACTCCGCGAAGTTTCACACCGTTCATAATGACATGGCGCCACCTATTTTTAGGTCTTTGTTTCTCTTTCTTCCTTGGCAGTCTCAGTGTTTCGAACACATTTCTAACGTACTCGATGGGTCTTCTTTTGATGTGACCTCTTTCCGTAAGATTTTTGAAATTGGTGTTACGTCTACAGTATATGCGGACCTCTGTGCTGACAGTACTCATCTCTCTGACCATTTCCATCTCTGTCGAGTTCAGCTGTTGCTGTGTCTCTTAAGTGTAGCTAAGCAATGCTCTCAGAACAGAAGCGCCGGTTCTAGAATCGTTCTTTACACCTTCTCCCTTAGTTTGATGGGAATCTTCTTATCGCGAAGTATTTCGTACAACTCTCTCCATTTGAGTCAAGGTTTTGCAACCAGTTACCTACCTCGCTGTTGATTTCCGCGTCATCTTCCAGGACGCAACTGAGGTAGTTGAGTTCTTGGGGGTGAGGCATCAAGCTCTCCTCTATTTTCACTGGTTTCATGGATTTCAACTTGTTTTCCCAGCATTGAAATAGCGCGCTTATATTCTGACTTGCCTTTGCTGACTCCAAGGCGTTCTTCTAAACAGCTGCTCTCCATGCCTTGATTTTTGATTCTACAGCTTCTATGTTTTCGTTGCAATGTACAGTGTCACTTGCGCATGGCTTACAGTATAGATCTGGTTCTTGTGGAACTGTACGAATCACGTCTGTCGCCATCGAGAGTAGAAATGGATTCAATGCGGAACTTTGGTGGACTCCTACCAACACAAGGAACTCTTCCGTTTCGCTATATGATCTTCAGACTGTTGTCATCACTCTGTCGTACATGCCTTTAATGAGAGTGACATATTTTTGCCAGCAAGTTGTTTCTCATGCTCTACTGGATCGCTTGCTTTGGGATTCGGTCAGAAGTCTTCTCCAGATCTACGAATTCCATATGAAGGTTCCGCCTGCCGTTTCATTAGGTTTGAGGGCTGTTAAAATAACTGGATCCTAAGTTTGCAAGTTAGTTTTCAACTTCAGACTGCTCATGGCTGAGTCTAACGAGAAATGTTGAAAATCGAAGGAAGAGGTAGGAAGAATAATGAATGGATAAAAGCACAATGAGTGCCCTTCATGCACTCCCGTGCAGAAGAAGCTATAATGGCAATTGGCATTGCACAATGCTACAGGAAGAAATCTTCGACTGGACCACGACACTGGACTCCAAGAAAGTGATCCCTTCGCTTGAAGATCTACAGATCAAAGAAAGATTGACCGATGAAGTATGTTGGACGAAAATAGCTGAAAATAGCTCTAAACAGAAGTGAACGGCGTAGCTTATTAAATTTTTCATCCAGTGGTCGATCGATGAAGAATTATGATGATCATGAAAGTCATTATGGCGCCTTTTACAAGAAGGTAGTAGCTTCTATTTCATGGTCACTCTGGCTTCTACATGTGGTTCGGTCTCACATGACCCTGACAGGAAGATTCTCTTGACAAACCAAGTTTGTTGGTGATTGCAAACAGCACTTTTACAATGATATAATTTGAGTATCGGATAAATATCATGCAAATGATTACCTCAGTTGCTGTCATTTTCTTCAGGAAACGATAGTGCCTGAAGTTGACATTGTTCAGCTTCTCGATGTATCGCTTTAAAACTTATTTAAAATCTATCGACTGTTAGAGATATGCATTTACTGCATTTATGTAAGTTATATTTTAATCGAAAGCTCCATTTCAGTTCAATATCTTTAGTACCCTGAATTAACTGCTGAGTAACGAATGGCTGAGCTTTGCGCAAAGATGCTAAACGCTGCAATGCTAGTTAATCACGCCATGTTCTCTACCATTTTTAGTGAGTGTTTATAGAATGGCAGCACGCGGAGCAACGGCATTAGAACACTTCAATTTGGCAGGAACTAATTGACGCAGCGTCTATCCCCAGTTTGATAACCTGTTTTATTGTTGTGGTTCTGAGTAGATTAGAAGGCAGAGTGGAGTCTTAGGGTGCTTTTCAGTATTGCAACTATTAATGAGAAAGAAATGAGGTTTATTTATTTTGGAACAGATTTATTATCAGCCTATTATGATTGTGTTTTCTTTTGGAAAAGCGATTCACAAGAGAAGGAAGTAAAAATAAATCTATAGATTTGTCTCGCCCTTAACGTCGAAACGTAAGACCATTTGCAATATTTCATTTCGAATACTGACACCGGATTTACTCAGCGAACACGCATAGTGTAAAGTCAGAAAGTAAAACGTTTCACTTTACACCAATACTGCGGCAGTGAAAGACAGAGGGACATCATTAAAATGAGTAACACCGCAGCAACGCGTGGCTTTTAGGTTTTAATTGCCTAAGGAGATAACTTACTCCGTTCACGGCTCAGTGTCTGCAGTATATAAATCTCCAGAACCCCGTCACTGAGTCGGAAGGTGTCAGATCGTAGACAGAGGCGGTGCGAAATAAACGCGTTACAGTGACGCTAATCTGCCACTTAGGAGAGGCATTCATTTTCATTCATTCATTCATTCACCTTCCATCGCCGCTTCTCCTTTCGGGTCGCGGAGGCAGACGCGTCAGGCAGAGCTTCCAACGTTCCTGATCCAGTGCCAAAGTCTGAGCTTCGGCAGAAGATAACTGGAGTAGTCTGGAACAGACTCCTTCCATATGTTTGCACCAGGTTAATCTTGGCCGTCCCCTGGCCTTCTGCCGGTCGGAATCGCAAGAAACCGTTGCTTAGCTTTCATTTCTGGAAATATTCGCAACACATGCCCAAATCATCGCAGCTGCGACTTCTTGATCTGGAGAAGCAAAGGCTGTACACCGAGACTCTCCCGGATGTCAGTTTTCCCGGCCGGCGACTCGTCTAAAAAAGGCCTTTTCAACAGCCTGTGCCCGAGTTCGAAGCTTTTCAGTCATGATCCACGCCTCATGACCAGCCCTTCGTGTTCTGATTTTAAAATCCGTTAGCGTCTATTTCGGCCAATTGCTTGAGAAAAATTCTGCAATTTGCTTCTTTGCATGTTTTACAAAGGAAGATTCTCTCAACGTCGTTTCTTTTTGAACAGCCTCGTTTTTTGTGTTTCATCTTTCCTTGGATGTGTGAAAAGAATTTACTAAGCTATCATGTGATTAGAGCTGCTTTTATGTCGAATATGAATGAATATGTCGAAAGCGCAAGTGAAGATGCTTACGCAGTTTATGGAAAACTATACGTCTTTTTGAACCATGCATTTTAAAGTGAAACGCATTCCTTTTGCACTGCCGAGGTTAAGAACCGTAGAGTGGATTGCGCAAAGTGATTAAATTATTTGCATTATACATGACGAGACGCAACTGAAACGGCGAAGGCACAGTGTAGAGGAAGAAAATTCAATTTCTCACTTTACACCAACAGCTCTGTTGCACCCCCCCTCCCCCGTTGCTTCTGAACGCTCAGAAGGACCATTTAAGCAGGCCACGGCATCATTGTATTCAAGCGTCTGCAGTGCATAGAACGCAGGACCGCGTGCCAAGCATTGGGTCGAACAAAGGTATTGTGAACAGAAGAAAATTGCCACAATCCCTTCGCGAAAGACTGTTAAAGTCGGGTGCCCGCTCCAACACCGAATCCAATTTGGATTAAAGTAATACTTTGTTTTTTGTTTCAAGTTTCTGTGATTTCTTTCTCTGGCGAAGGATCCTGAATAATCTTTGACTTGTATTTAAATGTCTAAATTACAAAATTTACATTTGCACTGTTGATAAACTTGTAAGAGTGCATTGTGTGCAAATAAATATTTTCGAATCTTGTGAGGTATGAAATCGAGAAATGGAACGAGGTTCGAATCGGTCGTTTGCCAACAATCACTTATAAAAGATACCTGCACATCATCACGTGTCAAGCAGTGCTCTTGTTTTAAAGCTCACGATGAACAAGTTCTGCCATGTCTTGTTTGTTGCAACCGAGGGTTAAACTTATTAACTTTTTAATGAGGAAATCATCATCGTCACGTCACATCTGAATTAGCGAAAAGTTACTTACCATCGATCTGATACCAACGGAACTGTTGTCTATGGCGCAGAGCATTTTCGACGAAACGTAGTGATAATGTCGTGAACAGAGTTCATGCCGAACGACCGTCATGCCTGCTTTCATGAGAAATCCGTTTCTCGGCGTTCCTTCGGCTAAACTTTTGTAATAATGAACATAAAGGCAAATATTCGTTATGCTTACTGAACGTCGGCATCGCATACGTCGTATGAAATTGCGCGTGTTCGGTAGCGATCACACAACTTTGCACAACGGGCGACAGAATCAGAGGATCTTTCAATTCCATCAGTGCAATATCGTTTTCTGGCTTGCCCTCGACGTAGTTCTTGTGAATTCCAAACGCCTTTATTTTTTGCGACTGTAGAACTGCTGCAGCACTTTGGCGCACTCCGAATGCTACTTTAATGCGTTCGGGCCTGATTCTGACAGTATCCGTCGATCCTAGCAAACGCCTATAACAGATATTTGCCTCATATGATGTTGATGAAAACTGTTACACTGAATAAGCCAACGCTTCCAAATAATGAACACAGTTCTTTTGCGTTGAGAATAAGAATAAGAATCAGAATAAGCCACGTTTAATGCTATTTTTTAATATGTTCACCAATCAGGCCACTTGTTCATATTTATTCATTTTATTTTCCTCTATTTGAATCAATCAGTCGTTTTCTCATTAAATAAATATTAATTACATTACCTCATTAGGCACCCATCATATTCATGCACCTAATCTACTTGTTCACCCTACTGATGCGTCTGTTGATATGTTTTATAGGACAGCTAAGGTAATCCTTGTTAGAATTACTGTAAATGAAATATGCAGTTCATAGTGTGCATATATGTGGCTCCCAGTTATTCGGCAACCTGCCACGTAGCATCCTATTTTCTGTCGTACTGCCACAGAACAAGGATAAGTGAATGACATTTTTCTGTTCAATAAAGTTCGTCATAAAGGCTACGACAAAATACTGTCAGTCAATCGTCCTGGAGTGAAATGCAGTGAGAGTAATTCGGTTTGACAGCTCGCACAATTGTCATAATATAGGATGAAACGAATTATGTTCATGACCTGCTTAAATATAACTAGCACCACTAATCCGCTATATCTTGCCGCAGGTCTTTTGTATTTATATCATTGCACGTTTCTCCACGCACTTATTCGCTCTTATCACGTGGAATGGATTCTACAAGACTTTCAAGGCAAAGTACCTGGATGCATTTCCGTGAGGTAGTCTATAACGGCCTCATATATGCTGTGAAGTACCTTAGCGATCTGATCTGCTACTTCGCAACAGTTCACACATCTTTGCCTTCTCTGAACACGCAACCAGGCCCCTTCATGCTGGAATTGATGGCGAAACACTCCTACATATACTATGAGTTCTCATGACAACTAACACATGAGTATGCATCAAAAGAAACTGCTGTGTACTAAAGAGAATAGGATCACAACTGATAAACGGTCATCACATGTAAACCAGCGTTAACCAAGCATTTTCTATAGTGAATTCCACACCACGACCACATATCGTGGTACTGAGTGGTGATTCGAAGTCCCCTTTGAAAGGAGTTAGCGTATTTGAGGTAATACTGTTAATCATACAAAATAAACAACCGCAGGGAACACAAAATTAATAGGGGAATAGGATAATTCTGTAAGTGATGATCGTTTCGGTCGTGAAATTATGGAATGCCGCAAATCATGGAATTTCAGATGTAGGTTCAGAAAAACATTTTGGCAACACTGCTTATGCGATACACATACTGTGTCCTGTGAAATTTATAATGCCGATCGTAAGTTTAGGATTCTCATTGCAGAGGAAAAAATTGAAAATGCGCAAAAGACGAAATACGCTTGGAGAAATTTCAGAAATAGTGCTGTCCTGTGTCTCTGATAACCCCCTGAATTGGATGTTTCAAAGACAGAACATTTTGCACGAGTGGATATAAATACATATTTTTGCAAGACCATTTTCTGCAATGAAATGTATTTGACGCGTATAAAATTGATATGCTTCTATGCATAGATGGCGCTTTGATACCTGCGATAAATGTTACGTTCTTTCGGTTCAGCTTGTTTCTTGCACTCTTGTATTAATAACGCAGCTTACTTCTTGATATATCTGAATTGCACTTCAAATACGCCACTCCGCCTGTAACGAAGCGTGTCGGCAATGAAATGAACCTCAAATATACCAGTATATACAAAAACGCCCGGGAGACAGTAAAAGCTAACAAATCCAAAGACAGAAAACTACCAGGGTCAAAAATTTAACTGGTGATCGACTGGCGTCAAGCGTAATGTTTGAGATCGTTTGACATGCTCCAGCAAATGGATGGTAATTTCTTCTCGAAGTTAATGTCCACTTAAAAAATGGTCCAAGGAGGATACCCAGCAGGATAGGAATATCCAATTGGAAGTGAAATTGAGTGAGTTCGAAATTATCGAATGGTTGACGCGCGTTTATTCGATTCCTGTGGCATACCCCATACCTGTGCGGCATTCGGGATCGTATTTGACGTAATAGTAAAAGGAGGAGAACAGAAAAACGTGTTTTGTTAGAGCCAAATGCTGTAGCTACCTGACAGGTTCTATTGGAATAACATGTTCTACCGTTATCTTTTTCTCGTATTTACAATTACCGAATCAATAGGTCAGCATCTGAGATTATCATTCTGCCTGTAAGCGCAATTATCATAATTTGGCTTGGCAGATGGAAGAGAAGACAAATCGTGGATGTCTATTATCGTCATAGTCTCTGATGTGTGAAATAATGCACTCAAGTTATTTGCCAAAAACATTGTGCGTTACCCTTGGAGCAGACTTGCAGGAACGACAACGAAATGCTTCCAGGGTACGGTTGAGACGGTAATCAGTGTGCCCATCGCTATTCGACCGTAAACCTCCACCAAAAGTAAGCAGGTTAATTCAGTATGATGCGGGAAAACTCCTTTCACGAGCAGATAGCGATGCTGATTCACCGTGTTGTTTCTAGCGGGTAAGGCGTTAGCCTGAAAATGAAAATTGATTTATACCGTGAGGTAGAAAAATAACATCTGCGTTAAAATATTTACGAGTTTAGTATGGTATTACATTCTCAGAGAAAAGGGACATTTGTAAGATATTGACATCAATAACAATAACCATATGAAAGTTCGATGAATTTTCAATTCTTTAAAAGAAATACGATATAGTATTCTTTTTTAATGTGTGCCTAAGAACTCGCTATTTATAAATAAAATGTTAGTCCCAGTATAAAACCATTTGATGCTGATTAAGATTATTAACGCCGAAACAGTGAAATCTGACAGGAACTGATTTTAAAGGTGATAGGATGTCTCATTCCATAGCTGTCAGCGAGTGAAACAAAGACATAGTTTCATTTGCAAGAATCCGAACGCATCGACCGAATTAAAATCAGCCATTATCAGAGAATGAACACAAAAGAAAACCAAACTGCATGACCGAATTGGTGGGACGCCAGCCTCGTCGCTAATAAAGCCCTGAAAGCCAAGTTGAGGAAATATCATTGGAAGCATATCTGCAAACACTATTTGTTCTGGCAATTCAGCAATTACCATTTCATTACTTCTAAGGACTCCAGGATTAACAGATTCAATTTTTTACAGTGTCGACTGACAAACAGTGAGTGATTGGTGCTAAAAGTATGATCGTTCTTTAGGGCATGGCCAGGAAAACTAGAATGATCAGCACTACGGTACCGTATGGCCGTTCTGTGCGCTGCTAATCTAGTATCTAACGCTCCACAGGTCGGGCGCTCAAAGCTATTGCAAACTGTCTCATGGACCACGGATTTACTCTCCAGAGAAAGGTAAGGATCAAGCATCATGTACACCAGGTTTTCAATGGCTTTGCCCAGTCAAAAAATAGGTTAAGACTGTTCCTTTTAAATATTGTCCAATTTCGTCGCGTATGCCTGAGACATGAAGTATCGACATGAGAAAATGACAATTAAAAAATGAACCAATCTCGAAGCGCTTACATGCACAATCAATAAATATTTGGAATATCGAATTTTAAAGAAAGTGGAAAGAAGGTGCTCGATTTCACGTTAGGAAAGTCGATCATCGCTGCAATAGTTTACAGGGCTGTGACTATGTGCTTCTTGGCATTGATTAAGGCCAAATTTCAGAGTGTAGAACGAAGTACTAAGATATCGGATTGAATGACGTGCTTTTCGATATGCCGTTATGGTGAATGAATCAACGGCGTCTCGTTTCACAAGAGGCACAGCTTTGATATTTCATTCGTGTTCTAAAATGAATTTTATAATATTCTTCAGATCTTAGAAATTAAAACGTTCAAACACCAGCTGATAACGATTAAGTTTATGATGCAACAATGAAAAAGCCTTCTATATATCTGAAACAGTGCAGATTTGAGGTGAGGTTTGCAGAAAAAAGGCTTTGGACTATAGGCAAATCATATGGATTTGCTCGAAGACTACAATAAAACATTCTACTTTACAATAAACGTTAGTTTACAGGGCTGTGACTATGTGCTTCTTGGCATTGACTAAGGCCAAATTTCAGAGTGTAGAGCGAAGTACTAAGATATCGGATTGAATGACGTGCTTTTCGATATGCCGTTATGGTGAATGAAGACTACAATAAAACATTCTACTTTACAATAAACGTTATTTATAATAATAAACCATTCAAGTTACATTACAGTTCCACAAACACGACCAGACGATGGCTAAAAGAAGGACGGACAGCATTTCGGTCTGCAGGTGTACGCCGGTCCTTTGCAACCAGTTCGGATCTTCTACCGTGAACACTGAAACGGTGTACCGGCTTCGCCCTTAAATATGCCGCTTCAGCGCATGTAAGATTACTGCATCATGTATCATGAGATTACTGCATCATGTAAATCTTTTGCCTGTCGCAAAGTGCATGTCTTGAGCAGGTGTTATAGGCAGAGGGTAAACGCCGCTTCACCGGCATTGCGTGATTCTGATGTCGCGTCGAGAAAACGGCAGGAGTAAACGAGTGACGTTGTTTGTTTTTGGCCGGCTGCGTGAGGTTCGACGAGCCATGAGACGCGTGACTCGTCCGCATGTGAGGGAGCCATAGCTACGAAATCTACAGGTAACGTCA